CTGGATGATCCCACCCTCCCTTCCTGGTGATTCCCATCTTTCCATGGTGATTCCCATCTCTCCCAGGTGATTCCCATCATTTCTGAGCGATTCCCATCTCTCCTGGGTTATTCCCATCTTTCCTGGGTGATTCCCATCTCTCCTGAGTGATTCCCATCTTTCCTGAGTGATTCCCATCTTTCCATGGTGATTCCCATCTTTCCTGAGCGATTCCCATCTCTCCTGAGTGATTCCCATCTTTCCATGGTGATTCCCATCTTTCCTGAGTGATTCCCATCATTTCTGGGTGATCCCATCCTCACTCCTGGCTGATTCCCATTTTTCTGGGCTGATCCCACTCTTCCCCAGGTGATTTTCCCTCTCCCCTGAGCAATCCCAGCTCCCTCTGGATGATCCCACCCTCACTTCCCAGTGATTCCCATCTTTTCTGGGCAATTCCCATATTTCCTGATTTGGGGAGTGAGCTATTCCCATCTTTCCTGGGTGATTCCCATCTTTCCATGGTGATTCCCATCTTTCCTGGGCAATTCCCATCTTTCCTGGGCAATTCCCATCTTTCCTGAGCGATTCCCATCTTTCCTGAGCGATTCCCATCATTTCTGGGTGATCCCATCCTCACTCCTAGCTGATTCCCATTTTTCTGGGCTGATCCCACTCTTCCCCAGGTGATTTTCCTTCTCCCCTGAGAAATCCCAGCTCTCCCTGGATGATCCCACCCTCACTTCCCGGAAATTCCCATTTCTCCTGGGCGATCCCTGTTCTCCCTGGACGATCCCACCCTCACTTCCCAGTGATTCCCATTTCTCCTGGGCGATCCCTGTTCTCCCTGGACGATCCCACCCTCACTCCTGGGTGATTCCCATTTTCCCTGGGCTGATCCCACTCTCCCCTGGGCGATCCCTGGATCATCTCACTTTCACTCCCGGCTGATTCCCATCTCTTTTGGGGTGATCCCTCCTCTCCGCTGGGCGATTCCCGTCTCCCCTGGACGATCCCACCCTCACTCCTGGATGATTCCCGTTTTCCCTGGCAGATCCCTCCTCTCCTCCCAGCCCTTCCCTCTCTCCCATCCTGATCCCCCATTCCCACAGCAGGACTCAGAGCCAAAAAAATTCCCAAATCCCGCATTCCCCAACCCAGCCAAGCACCGGGATCAGCCGCCAGGAAAGCAAAACCAGACCCTAAATCCCATTTTTTTTTTTCTTTTTTCCCCTATTTCCAGCAGGATTTCTGCAAGATCCCAGCCCCGCCCCCGGGAATTCCAGCCGCGATCACACCGTGTCTCTTCCCATCTCGTCACATTCCCTCCTCGCCGGGATGAATCATCCTTCTCCCCCCACTCCTTTCCCAAACATCCACAAAAAAAAAAAAAATCCCAGCCCTGGTGGCCCCTTTTCCTTCAGGGTTCCCGTCGCATCCACAGGGAAAAGTCAGGAGCAGCTTCCTGGTCTTGGAATTAAAATCCGACCCAGGGAGGGGCTGGAAAAAATCTGTTCCCCATCCCAAAAAAAAAACCAGAGCCAGGAGATGCTGCTGGTTGGGATCCACCACCAAAATTCCCAAAATTCTGGGAGCTGCTCTGGGAATGAATCACCAGAAACACCCAAAATCCTGGGATTGCTGCAAAAAATTGGGTTTATCCCGGTTTGGAGGGGCTGGCGGGGACTTTTCCCTCTCCAGGCCACATCCAGGTGGGATCAGCACCTTCCAGATCCAAAGTGGGCCTGGAAAACTCGGTTTAAACCTCTTGGAATTCCTGAGGAAAACATCCTGGCCGCGAGAAAAAAACAGGAATCGGGAAAAGGGGAGTGCGAAACCATCCCAAAATCCCAGAATTTGGGAATTCTGGGTGGCTGGGGGGAAAAAAATCAGGCGGGGGAGGGGGAGCCGGGAAGGTTCTGGGATCTGGGAAGGAAAACGGGTGTGAAAAGCAGGGAAAGGAATTTAAGGAGACAGGGATGAGGGAGGGAAGAGGGAGAGCGGAGGAGAAGCGACAGCGGCCGGCCCAAGGGGTGGGAATTTTCTCACCCAGGGATGGAGGCGGCGGCGGGAAAAGATGGGAATTTCATCCCTAAGGAAAGGCTGTGACCTCCTCCCAGCCCCGGCACCCTGCTGGGCACGTCCTGCCCTGGCCAGGGGGAAAAGGCTGGAAGTGGGAAGGGGGAATTGGGAAGGGGGATTTGGGAAGGGGGAATTGGGAAGAAGGAATTGGGAAAAGGGATCCTGGGAAGAGGGATTTGGGAAGAGTGATCCTGGGAAGGGGGATTTGGGCATGGGGATCCTGGGAATGGGGATTTGGGAAGGGGGAATTTGGGAAGGGGGAATTTGGGAAGGGGGAATTTGGGAAGAAGGACCCCATGCCGGGGACACACAGCTTGTCCCCTGTCACAGCCAAAGCCACCCCTGTCACCCCTGGCTCTGTGGAGGTGACACCGGGACCCCTGGAAGAGAAAGGCCGGGAAAAGGGAATTGCAGTTCCCGGCTCCCTGGAATCCTCTGCTCCTGCTTTGCACAGTTCCTCATGGATTTGTGGAAGTGGCACCGGGACCTCAGGAAGAGAAATCCCGGGAAGAGAAATCCCGGGAAAGGGACCTCGGGAAGAAGAACACTGGGAAAAGGGACCCCTCACCGGGGGGACAAAGCCATTCCTGCAGTGTGACACGGCCAAGGCCACCTGTGACCCTCCTGGATCCATGGAGGTGACACTAGGACCTCGGGAAGAGAAATCCCGGGAAGAGGAACCATGGGAAGAGGGATTCCAGGACCTCGGGAAGAAGAACACTGGGAAAAGGGAATTTTCACCCGGGGTACAAAGCTGTTCCCACAGTGTGACACGGCCAAGGCCACCCATGACCCTCCTGGATCCATGGAGGTGACACTGGGACCTCGGGAAGAGAAATCCCGGGAAGAGAAATCCCGGGAAGAGGGACCTCAGGAACAGGGACCTCAGGAATTGGGAGCCCAAGGCCGCTTTTCTCCCGACCACGGCGCAGCCAAATCCCACCCCAAATCCTCCTCCACCACCAAAATAAATCCTGGAATGCCGATTTCCCCTCTCCCAGCAGCAGGATCCCCCCAAATCCCTCCCCTCGGAGCCGGGGACTGGCCGGGATGGGTTTGTTCCATAAAAAAGGGTGGGAAAAATCAGAATTTTTCTGATCGAGGGAAACTCTGCTGCTGCCAGACCCGGCAGAGAAGGGGTGGATGGGGCAGAATTATTGTTATTATTATTATTATTATTATTACTACTACTACTACTACTACTACTACTACTACTACTACTACTATTACTACTACACTATTACTATTACTATTACTATTACTATTACTATTATTACTATTATTCCATTGTTCCTTTAGTCCATATTATTATTATTCCATTCTTCCATTATCATCCCACCATTGATAGCATTTAATTAGTTACAATTAATTATGATTATTATCCGATTATTAAATTAATTACGATTATTTAATGACAAATTTCCAAGCCAAAACCATCACCACCCCATCCATTCTCCCGGATCGCCCCAGCACAGGGCAAACCAGGAAAATCCCTTCCCATCATCCGAGGAAGGCGACGGAGAAGAGATCCAGGCCTAATTCCAGAGGCAATCCCGCCGGGATTGGGGCGCAGGAAAAGCGGGAGCAGCCCCCCAACCCCCACCTGGTGTCACCACTGTCACCCCCCCTCCAGCTCCTTCCTCTTCCCGCTTTTCTCGGGATCATGGAATGGCTTGGAAACGACCTCAAAGCTCATCCAGAGCCACCTTCCCCCATCCCAGGTCGCTCCCAGCCGCGTCCAACCTCACCTGGACCCTTTTCGGGACACTCGAGGTGACACCACCGCCTGGGGGGTCCCCACAGACCCCTCAGCACTGTCCCCAACCCTATCCCAACCATTCCAAAGGACGGGAACAGCGCAAAACCTGGGGATGGGAACGTGGCGCTGATCCCGCGGCCGCGTGCGAGGGCTCGGGCGCGCGGCAGGTCCCCGGCGCCGCCGCGGGTCTCACCTGGGTCTCGGAGAGGTTGAGTTGCCGCGCTAGCTCCGTCCTTTCCCGGCCCACCACGTACTGGCAGCGCTGGAATTCCAGCTCCAGGCGGTAGAGCTGCTCCGCCGTGAAGGACGTCCGCGTCCGCTTGGGCCGGTCCAGGTCCAGCCCTTTGGGCAGCACGATCTCCCGGATCGTCCCTTTGGCATCTGGGTGGGAAACGGGGAGAAATTCAGGGGAAAAAAGGCAAATAAAACCTGAAAGAATCCGCCCAAAAATCCCCAAAAAATTCGGTTATTCTGGGGGGAGAATGGGAAATAAATGGGATTAAAGAGCGGCTCCGTGGAATTCCCACAAGCTGGAGGTAAATCGTGGCTCGGTTCTTCCCTTCGGCTCTGAATGCGGAAGGTTTGTAAATATCCAGGGCAAAAAAGCAAAGAAAACCTGAAAGAATCCAGCAAAAAATCCCCAAAAATTTGGTTATTATGGGGTGAGGGGAATGGGAAATAAATGGGATTAAAGAGTTACTCCATGGAAAAGAGTAACTCCATGGAATTCCCACAAGCTGGAGGTAAATCGTGGCTCAGTTCTTCCCTCTGGCTCTGAATGTGGAAGGTTTGTAAATATCCAGGGAAAAAAAGCAAAGAAAACCTGAAAGAATCCACCCAAAAATCCCCAAAAATTCGGTTATTCTGGGGGGAAATGGGAAATAAATGGGATTAAAGAGCGGCTCCGTGGAATTCCCATAAGCTGGAGGTAAATCGTGGCTCGGTTCTTCCCTTCAGCTCCGAACGCGGAGTTTGTAAATACCCAGGGAAAGGCAACAAATCTCCATGAATTTGGGTTTTTTAAAGACATAAATAGAAGCCATAAATTTTTCTTTTGGAAAACGGAGCGTTCCATCCTGGAAATAGTAATAATTTGGAAAAGGGGATTTATGCCAAGGAAGAATTCGAATTAAAGATTTTTTTTTCGGTAATTTTTATGTAATTTTTTGATTTCTGTCCTTCCTTGGGAATACCAGGAATAATTCACCTCTATTAAAATTCCCATCTCTCCAGAATTTTATCCTCTGAAGGAATATTTCCTTGGGAAGCTCAGCTCCTGTTTTGGGGTGGTTTCCTTTTCAAGGATAAATTTGGGAAGCGCCGTGGGCACCGAGCTTCTCCCGGCCGTGGATTTTATGGGGTTGGGAATATCCAGGGAAAGAAAAACTTGAGGGATTGGCTCCATCCCAGGCTGTGGGAAGCGGCTCCGGAGGAGCTTCCGTGGCTTCGCTTCCCACCAGGAAAGGACAAACTCCACCAAAAAAAAACAACAGGAATCCTGTCCCAGCTTCCAGGAATTAAAATGAGCCTTGGGAATCGCGTGCTGGGATCTTCCCAGATCCCAAATCCCGGCTCATTTTGGGTGAGCTCTCCCTGCAGAGCTCCCAGGGGCTTTTCCAGAGGGTTAAAATCCAGCCAGGAAGTTCCTCAAGCCCCAAGCCAGGCCCTGATTTTGGGATGCTGGATCCCAATTCTGGAGAGATCCCGGCTGGAGCTCAATGGCTCTCCCTCCCTGTGGCTGAGTCCGGCATGACGGGATTATAAAATTCCCGGGATAGGAAGGGGGAAAACAGCCAGGAGGAGCCGGGAGTGGGGTGATGGAGATGGGGTGGGGAAGGTGGAGATGGGAATGGGGGCGCTGGAATGGGAATGGGGGCTCTGAGATGGGAATGGTGGTGTCGGGATGGGAATAGTGGAGCTGGGATGGGATGGGAATGGTGGAGCTGGAATGGGAATGGTGGAGCTGGAATGGGAATGGTGGTGTTGGGATGGGAATGGTGGAGCTGGAATGGGAATGGGGGTGCTGGGATGGGATTGGGGAAGGTGGAGATGGGAATGGGGGTGCTGGAATGGAAATGGTGGTGCTGGGATGGGAATGGTGGTTTCGGGATGGGAATGGTGGCACTGGGATTGGAATGATGGCATCGGGACTGGAATGGTGGCACTGCAATGGGAATGGCAGCACAGGGAAAGGAATGGGGACACTGGAATGGGAATGGTGGCACCGGGATTGGAATGGCAGTGCTGGGATTGGAATGGCGGCGCTGGGATGGGAACGGTGGTGTCGGGATGGGAATGGTGGTTTCGGGATGGGAATGATGGCATCGGGACTGGAATGGCGGAGCTGCAATGGGAATGGCGGCGCTGGGATAGGAATGGTGGAGCTGGGATGGGAATGGCGGAGCTGGTATGGGAATGGTGGAGCTGGGATGGGAATGGTGGAGCTGGTATTGGAATGGCGGTGCTGGAATGGGAATGGTGGAGCTGGAATGGGAATAGCGGCGCTGGAATGGGAATGGCAGCGCTGGGATGGGAATGGCGGCGCTGGGATAGGAATGGCGGCGCTGGGATGGGAATAGCGGCGCTGGCATTGGAATAGCGGCGCTGGTATTGGA